CATTATATTTTTTTTTTTCTTTTTTTCTTATGATCAAAATATTATCGGCATTCTAGATGGTTAGACAGACGGGTATAATTGAGTTCATGAGGTACGGTTCATTGATTAGATTTGATATCTTTTTTCCCAGGGGAGTGATGTATGATCAGTGTGGGGATATATCTATCGATGTGATATTCTAAGAGGGTATGTGAATCCAGAAATGGGGTACGTAGTTATCTAGTAAAAAAGAAAGCTATAACCTATCAGATAAACTCAGACCCCGCACATTCATCCTGCAGGATTCCGAGGATCCATACTACTAATCCTCAATTACTTATCAAGGATGATCATACTATTGACTTGCTGGCATACCTGCATACCTCTCTTGGAACTGGAAGTTAGCGATCGATGTGCTAAGTTTCAATGTATAAATTACTCCTAGTAGTATCTCCATGAAGTAATTCACCGTCTTTATGCGCTGGATATCACTCAAATTGCTGATGGCATTTAGAAACTGTTAACACTTACTTATCGTATGATCGTAGTACTACTATCTGTGGACCGGCGATATATATTAACAAGTAGTAGCACCGTCATACTCGAAGAAGGTAATTCGAAAGGATTATTGTTTCTAAAGTGATAGAAGATAGCCGTGAACAGAACAACTCTTTGAATTGTAGATGATATAATATACAGACTAAATCTAGTCATGGATATTGTATGAACATGATGATGAGTAGGATGCTCAATCGACATATCAATACACTGTTTGTATATATCATATGAATATTGTTTCATTATTCATTTCATAGTCGTCATAAACAGGATAAATGCAGTGCGAACAATATTTATAATGATAGGGGTATCGTTTCTAGTATGCATAGGCGGGAATAACAATGACCATATGTATGTATGTATGGATGCATGCATGCATGGTGTTTGTCTTGTTGGGAGGGGAGAGGAAGTGAGAGGTTTGAGGATGATGAATCATGACGAAGATGACTGTTGCTGGGAAGATTCACCTCCCAGTCCAACACCCTCTTGTCGGCCTCTGACTAGCGCCAGAAGACACTGACCTACACCTTCTAGGTCGCCTAGAAGTCCGACGTGGCCACGATCGCTCTTCACCAGACCACCCTTGATGATCCGGTATCCTGGCGGCAGCATGGCCGCGGAGGCAAGACAGACCCCGTCGCCGGCGGCGAACGCCAGATCGTCGTAGGCGTCTTGGTATGGGATGCGTTCGCGTGATTCGACGCGGGCTCCGTAGACGGTGGGCACGGACTTGCCGTATAGCACGGCGAAGGGTGGGTATTTGTTTTGAGACTGATGCGAGGAGTTGAATGCAAGCTCTTGCTTGAAACGAAGGACCTCTGCGAGAGTGCGCTCTAGATAGGTCACGGCTGTTGCACGGGGTATGGTCGTGGTTGTGGTAGCCTTGGTATTGGCTGAGCCCTTGAAATTGGAGGTTGGTCCTACCGCGCTCTCCAAATTCGGGGCAGAGACCGGTGCATATTTTCCGGTGGACTCATTGGAGGGATTTGCTGTTTCATTAGGGTTCTGGGTGTGATTGTGTGATGCCTGCTCGCCATTGGCATCATCCGTCGAGGATAGACTATCCTTGCTGCCTAGGACGGTGGAGATGCGCTTTCCGAGAAGAGGGAGGTTGTCTTTGAAGCCTCTGCTGTTTGGAAGTGGAAGAGCCGGATTGATACAAGGAGAGAGCCGGTAGTCATCCCACGCCTGAGCCGAGAAAAAGTCCACACGGTACTCTTCCTTCGTCCGCTTGTTGATAAAGCAGTGTCCGTCCTCTGGAAGGAGGGCGAAGCTGGTACGGAAGGTGAAGTTCACCTGAGCTGTAAGGACGCGGGAACTAAGCAGCACATCATCTCCATTACGGAGAGGGCCCAAAATGTTGACACAGTGCTGCGGGACGCCCGCATAGAGGACTCCTGCGAAGAGATCCGGTCGCTGATTGACAGCATGCCGTGTGATGAGGCCGCCCAAGCTGTGGGCGATGACATAGGCTCCGCGCTTTTCGCGGGGGACGTCTGGGGAGTTACAGGGCAAGCCCTCTAGAAACTTGACTAGTCGTTTAGCAAGTAGATGCGGACTCAACCGCCAGTCGTAACCATAATCGTGGACTCGGAGGTCACCATTGACGGCGTTCGGGCACTTTTGAAGGCGTTTCATCAGCCGACGGCAGATGTCGACCGGGCCAACATGGGACAACACGCCGGACGGAATGATGGTTTCTTCCATGCGTTCCTCATCTTCCGGGTTTAAGCCCACCTCCAGATCCACCTTGCGAAGATTCAGGCCGACTTTCATCGGAACCCACAGTTGGCGTTGCGGCGGTTTGGCGGACCGCAAGACTGAGCCTCGATAGCCTCCCAGAATAACGACATCACCGGTCATTTCGGCCATCGCCTCGGTCAAATTGGGGTACTGTGCACTAATACTGGTCCGCGGAGAACGGGCCCGAGGTGGAATCGAGTCATCACCCGGCATCTCCCGAGCAGAGGGCGGCTGCTCTGGCGTGGCGTAGGTGTGGCCCCTGCGATTAGTGACATCGGACAAAAATGGCTTATAGCCCCAATCACTTCGAAAGTCTTGCAGGTGCAGCGTGGGCATACTAAGTAGCCGGCTGCTGGAATCCTGAAGGCTGTCCTTGATCGCCTTGAACCGGCTGTTGACTTGCGAATGGATATGCTCGTAACGGGGACGCTGTTCTAGCGACGAGGCGGTTGACGAAGCTCTCAGGTATAAAGACTGGTCTGAAGATGATCGCCGTAGGAGAGAAGGTGGGCGGCCTGTTGTGCTGGGCCTTCGCGCATATGAGTGTCTAGCGGTCGTGGCGCCCCCGAGAGGATCGAGTTCAGATACTTGCTCCTCGGGACTATCTCTAGATTCTGGATCGGAGAACGATTTGCGCCGGGATTGCAGCGCTGATTCGTCTTTTTCCTGTTCCAATGCCAGCTTTGACATGGGCTTCAGGGTCTGACTGCGAGCCCGGACTTGCGATGACGATCCGGGTCGGAAGGAAAGCGATGACCGTTTAGTCAATAGATCTGGCAGGAACTTCTTCAGGCGTATATTGGTCAAGGAGTCGCCGGACCATGCCCTGGGTCGAAGGGGCAATCCGGATTTCAAGATCGAACGGGTGAAGCTGGTTCGCTGACCATCCTTAGATCCCCGGGCGCTGTCACGCTGTGGCGCCGCCAAGTCCGCTGAAGAGGCTTGAGCATCACCCGGCTTAGCAGCCGGTTCTTCAGGCAAAGCTTCTGGTTCGTCGGTGATTTCAGATGCAAAAAGACCCTCGGGTTCCGGCGTATCCGGGATTGTGTCGAAGTAGCTACTTTGCCGTTCCATCATACGGGTTTTCTCTTCCGCAGGCGTGAGGCGCGCCTTCATACGGCTCTGGGCGCGACTCATGCTAACTCCGACGACTTCATTGGCTTCATCTTCGCGGACGGCGTCCGGGAGATTCGGATCCTCGCTGTCCGAACTCGAATTGACGGTGAAGGTGGGCGAGGGCTCCGCAGCTGGCGAGGAGTGTGCAATGACGGGGACCTGACCATTGGTCCCCGCCGGATGTGCAGGAATCGCCATGGTTAAGGTGGGCGGAGAGGGGAGAAAGAGGTGAGATTATGTATGACCCATGCAGGGGGAGAGTTTAAAAATCGAGTGATGAGGGAAGATAAGAATAGATGGGAAGAGAAAGGCTGAGACAGACTAGAGAGGGCAGTTCAATTAGGATCCATCACATGTCAGAGTGGATAGATGGATGGATTACTATGGAGTAGCGCACTAAACTAACGGTTTGAATGTCTGCGATGGAGCATTCGTATTCGCGTTAGGGTGGCTCCATAGGGGCGAGACTGGAGCGTGCTGGAGGCGATCAGCAAATCAAGCGCATGGAGTCATGGCAATAATGGGGACGCGAGAGTGCGTGGGACGGAAGACAAGATAATAAGAAGAAGAAATGGACAGGTACCGTCGAAGGAAGGGAGAAAAGCAAAAGAAATAATAAATCATGACGAGCAGGGGAGGAGAAAATTGGAAAAACTAAGCAAGAGGGCCGAAAAAAGTCAGAGAAAGAGAGGTTCCACCGCACAGCCTCCGGGCGTTCCGGAAGAAGCTTCCTGTCAGTCGCGACGATTATTTCCAGCTTCCAAGCAATAGTGTAGGTGAAATTAGGAAAGGCTGTACTCGCGCGACGGGGGTTATTCTTGGGATCCGACCATGGATAGTGCCGGATAGTTCAGCATAGCTGAGCGTTAGTGGGATGCTTGGCTGGAGGTTAAGTCAGTGGCTGATCACCAGGAGGATTTGCTGTGTCGGAACGGAGCTGAGGTCAGCTTGGGCTTCAGCAGATGAGTTAGTTCAGGAAAGGGAGAGATTCAGCAAGAGATTGGGTGGAGAGGCATCGGAGAGCATCCGTGAAGAGCCACACGGTCCATGGGTTCATTCTCGAGTTCCGTAGATGGCATTCTCGCATGTAGATACTGCACACAATCCGACCATTGGCGATAATATTGCAATGAGATCATGCCCCAGGGCAATAGCATAACCAGCACATCACATCACCAAACAGAGTAAAAGTCGCTGCATATCGTCATAGTAAGTAGCTTGGTTCGGTTGGCGGGCAGCCGAAGCAACAGAACAAATGAGAGAGAAGATGATTTGAGGGGAAAATCAAAAAGAAGATCAAGATGGAGCACCTCAGGCGCCAATCAGCTGACAGTCAGCGGGATTCATTGCCACACCACAACAGACAATTGTTCATTCACTACTTATCACGGTTCGACTAAGTACAGTCAGAAAGTAGTTTGGACTGATCTCAACCACAACAAAGATTAGTACAACTATTTTCAGACTCCGCATGCCAGCACGCCGGAATGTGGCTATCCCGACGCTAACTGGCATCCGTCCACTCATCCAACCCGGGTTGCTACGTGCTAATTTAGAGCCATCTTTTAGGTCCAACCGACCTTTACGCAACAAAGGAAACTCCGCGTCATGGTACACATCATATTCATAATTTACACTAACAAAAGCACTAGCATATGGCGTATTCGTATCTCATTAACAAAATAAAGGCGGGGTTCATCCCATTGCCAAAAAGACCATGGTGTTCAGAATCACCGCTGGGTTCTGCTAAAATTTCCCGATTGAATCTCTCGCTCCCCTTCTCGAGCAATGGCCGAGTTTTTGGCGGCCCCTTCTTCGTGCCCAAAGGCCTTGTCGACCGCAGCTGTGAGCCCGCCTCGCAATGACTCCCCCGCTCCCTGTGTTTCAGGTCAGCATCAGCCGCTCGTTAGTGTCGGATAGCCCGCGGCCACTACGGATGAATGTGCCTGGCTAGACTCGACTGCTGGTTGGGACTTACATGGATTCCTGCAGCTGCCGACTTCACACCGCTGCCAACAGATTCCCCGGCAGCTGCCGACTTGGATTGGGTGCCATATGTGCTACCGGATGATTGCGTCGGTTGATATCCCACTCCACTGGTGGTTTGCGATCCCGAGACCGGGGCCGTGTTGTAGCCAGCTGCGCTTGAGGCAGCGCCTCCGGCAGCGGTAGCCGCTTGGTTCGGTTGCTGGTAAGCGGCTCCGCCGGTGGTGTCGGTAGGTTCACGCATGGCTCCAGAGCCGGTTGCGTTGGTCGACTTGGAAGACATCTCGCCCGTCTTGCTGTTGACGCGGGGGTCGAGCTTATTGAGAAGGGAGGACTTGTGAGGGCCCGCGGTGGAGCTTTGAGGGTTCGATACGTTCTGGGTGGCCTGGGGATGTACGTTGCCGGTGGTTGTCGCGCCAGGGGCGTACTGAGCGCGGTTGTTCAGATCGCTATCAACGCGGGGATCGGCCTTGTTGGCGAGATCAGATTGATGCGGTCCGGCAGTGGTGCGCGCAGGGCCGGTATTTGCTTGACCGGTGCTGGTGATGCCGCTGCCAACTTGGGTCCCAGTTGCAGTAGTTGCGCTGGGGTTCTGGTTGGGTTCACCGAAGGTGGAAGAATAGTAGGGAGGCTGAGTACTGCTCATGGTGATATTTCAATTAGTAGGTTTGATATGTTGATATGTTGATGATGATGATGTTAGGTAGTATTCATTCCCCACTGTCTGTCTTCATCTTATATAAGGAGGCGAGGGAGAGGGTTGAAGCCTTCGACATCATCGATCAGCGGGTGACGTCAGGTAGGACATACCATGGTTCAGACGCAGCATCACTGCCCGGCCATAGTTGGGTGTGCAGTTTGCAGTGAATAACATGAGCAAACGAGACCAGCCACAGTGAATGCAATGACTGGATAACCAATGCTGATGATTCTATTCAACCTCAATGCAATCCCTACCAATAAACTATCACGTGATACCTTATCGATAAGACTGCATAAGATGACAATGATGTCATGAAGCCAAAAAGTGCAAAACTGCAGAAACAAAAAACTAACAGTGACAGCCCGAAAGAGTCATCCCCGGCAGAAGAAATGGCCACAAACAGTAGACAGACCGACTAATCAAAAAGCCAACACAATAACTCCGAGCCGAAAAGCCCATCAAGGAGAGAAGCCTCAGCCGCGGGGAGGGACACGCGCGGAGGAGTTACTACAAACAGAGCGAAGGCCTAGTGTGGAAAGCGAACGAGCCGAGGTTCAGGACCGGCTCAGGGTCAACGACAAAAAAGATGGACATTCAGCCCGATCCCCCTTCACTTACTATTCATTCTACTGCCTTTATTCACTGTATACAGTTAATCAATATTCATTGAATCAGCAACCAAAATGACCATCACAAACCGCCAACTCATCTACGTCAAGGCCCCCACAGCCGCCATCGACCCATCCGTAACAACCGGCACCTTCAACCTGAAGACCACCACCACCATCGACAGGAACAATGTCCCGGATGACAAAGTCCTCGTACGCATCCACTACCTCGCCCTCGAGCCCGCCATGCGCCAATGGCTCACAGCCAAACGGTCGTACATTGCGCCCGTGAAAATCGGTAGCATCATGCGCGGCCAAAGCATCGCGCAGGTGCTCTCCGTCGGTAGCAGTCTGACATCCCAATACCGAGTCGGCGATTGGGTGATTGCCTACTCTGGATGGCAGGAATACGCTGTTCTAGGCGCCAAAGAGGCGCAGAAGATCTCCGTGCCGGAGGGGTGCAAGCCCACGGATGCGATGTCCGTGCTGGGGATGACGGGTCTGACGGCGTATTTCGGGATGATGGATGTGGGGAAGCCAAAGGCTGGCGATACGGTGGTTGTGTCTGGAGCGGCTGGTGCGACGGGGATGGTGGCGGGCCAGATTGCGAAGATTCAGGGAGCGAAGAGGGTGGTTGGGATTGCGGGAAGTAAGGATAAGTGTGAGTTTTTGGTGAGGGAGTTGGGGTTTGATGTGGCGATCAATTACAAGGATGAGGATTGGAAGAAGCAGTTGAAGGAGGCTACGCCGGAGTATATCGATGTTTACTTTGATAATGTGGGTGGGGAGATCCTGGATGCGTGTTTGGGCCGGGCGGCGCAGTTTGCTAGGTTCGTTATTTGTGGTGCGATTAGCCAGTATAATGTCGCGAAGCCGAAGGGGCCGGCGAATATTATGCAGGTTATCGTAAGTCCCCCCCGCCCCTTGTTTTTTGATGATGTTCTTGGGTTGGGAGGTTCTAACGGTGACAAGTCGCAACGAGTCAAAATGCAGGGCTACATCGTGTTCGACTACGCCAAGCAGTACCCGGATGCGTTGCAGGATCTGGCCAAGTGGTTGACGCAGGGCAAGATCAAGCGCAAGGAGCATATTGTCAAGGGGGGATTGGAGTCGGCGCCGAAGAGTCTGGTGGATTTGTATAATGGAGTGAACACGGGCAAGATGATGGTGGAGGTGGTGCCGGCGGAGGAGGGAATCAAAGCCAAGTTGTAGTCCTACCACCTTGTACTTAGCATTTACAATCGCAGTAACAGTTTATTCTAATCAAAAGCCAATTAATTTTCTCGGAATGGTGCTAACTGCTAGCTGTTAACTCATTATGACCACTGCGGCTGCAACCATGGCTGGACCACCATTACTTCATACTCAACTCACGTCATACTGATGATCTCCACCAGCATCATCATCACCTTCACTATCACTATCTCCATGCACAGTGGCACATATAAACCGGATTCAACCCTAGACTAGACATCACTTCACCATGTTACAGCGTCAATTCCTTCGTCCACTGCTACGTCCTACCCACCCAATCCACACCAATAATACTATCCGCCCAGCTATATATACCTCTAGCAGACATCTCACCTCTACCCCATCATACCACTATTCCACAACTCAACAACACCACTTCTCTCACACACCCACCAGACCTCAGTCGGACCTCCACAAAATGGCCTCTGCAAGCAACGAGAACTTTAAGCTGGAGAATCTCTTCGGCGTGAAGGGCAAAGGTATCCCCATATACCCTCCTGCATCTCTACCCCAACAGCATACTAACAAAATACTGCCAGTTGCCCTAATCACCGGCGGCGGCTCAGGCATCGGCCTAATGGCGACGCAAGCACTCGCGACCAACGGGGCAAAAGTGTACATCACGGGCCGCACACAAGAGAAACTCGACCGGGTAGCAAGCCTCTACAACAAGAACATAAGCGGGGAGATCATCCCGATTGTGTCAGACATCACATCGAAAGAATCCATCAGCAAGCTCGTGAAGGAGATTGAATCGCGCGAATCCCACCTCTCCATCCTGATCAACAACGCAGGAATCAGCAGCAGCACGGATAACACGGAACCCAGCGACGCCACGGAACTGAAGCAGTCGCTCTTCGATGACGCAACCCCTATGAGCGAGTGGGAAGATACCTACCGGACGAATGTCATGCAGTTGTATTTCACCACGACGGCTTTCTTGCCGCTGTTGCAGAAGGGGTCCGAGAGGGAGAAGGGGTGGAGTAGTACTGTGGTGAATATTACCAGTATCTCGGGTATTGTGAAGGTGTCGCAGCATCATTTCGCGTATAATGCTAGCAAGGCGGCGGCGATTCATTTGACCAAGATGTTGGCGCATGAGGTGGCTGATAGTGGGTTGAGGATCAGAGTGAATAATATTGCTCCCGGGGTGTTTCCGAGTGAGATGACGGCGGGCGAGAGTGATGAGAAACAGAAGAGTGCGTTGGCCAAGGAGAAGTATGAGGGTAAGGTGCCGGCGGCGAGACCGGGCAAGGATGAGGATATGGCCAGTGCGGTGCTGTTTGTTAGTACGAATCAGTATTTGAATGGGCAGACGGTCGTTGTCGATGGGGGGTATGTGTTGGCTGCTGGGACGGTTTAGTGTACTTCATGTGTGATTGTATGTTAATGTACATCGAGGTTATACATCCATTCTGATCTCATCACTTGAGATGCTTTGATCCGTCGATTGGCATCGGGGTTTAGCATCGCGTATACCACGTTTCTGCATTGTGCCTGTCACACACACATTAGCCATATACCCCAGACTATCATCTACGAGTACATGATGTAGAGAAAAGGGATAATCTTACCCCTCCCAACCCCTCAATAACCCCATACCCCTCCCTTCTCTTCCTCCCAGCAAGATACTCCGCATACCGCCCATCCTCCTCCTCACTCGCACTCCGCCAGAGAATCCTCCCCAGTCTCAGGACAAGGTAGATAATCCCGACAGCCCAGACATCCACAGCCCGGGGGTCATCATCCCCTGCTACCCCTAGGGAAGGACTTCCATACCCACGTCGACAATAAGCCGAAGAGTAAGGAGATGGAGAAGGAGGATGAAGTACCTCCGGCGCAGCATAAGGATTACTCCTCCTCTTCCCCCTATCACATCTTCCCTCCAACTCCAACTCCTCAAACTTCCCTATCCCCATCGATAATCCCCTAACAAGGGGATATACATCTTCTTTCCATGCTGCGTAGTACCCACCATCACCATCTTTCACCCCAATATGGTCGTGAGAGAGTTGAGAATCCAACACCCTCGCATCTCCTAAATCCCCCAGTTTCACACAAACCCCATTCCCATTCCCATCTTTAGAAGAAACCAAAACATTCTCCGCGCAAATACACCCATGAACCACCCCCATCTCGTGAAGAAATTCCACTGCGCTCATGATTTGATAGAAGATGCTATCTGCTTCTTTAACACCCATAACACTATCCCCATGGGAAGTAGAGGAGGAGGAGATATACGTCCCCAAATCACCTAATTCGCAATACTCACTTACCAGACATGTTTCTCCACGAGAGTTGGGAAGAATATCAATGGTCTGGAGGAGATGTGGATGGTAGAGTGTTGACGAGAGGAGGGACTCGAGGGTGGATTTTAGGGTTTGTTTTGTCGAGGAGGAGGGGGTTGGGCGGAGGGTTTTGAGGACGTGCAGTTTTTTGTTTTTCTTGTTGGTGGTGGTGGTGGTGGTGTTGGTGTAGAGACGAACAGAGCTGGATGTGCCGTAGTGGAGGATGGTGGTGCAGGTGCCGTATTTGTCTTTGAGGGATTGAGGTGTATTTTGTTGGTGGTGAGGAAGGAGAGGACTCTCTTCTGATATGTTGCTTATATCTGTGTCTGCTTCTGAGATAGTAGCAGTGGTATGTGTCTGTGTATGTGCATGCCATGGAAAAGGCACCGAAGGGATTGAGAACGAGTACTCCGAGAAAGGGAGTTTGAAACACAGGTAGTTTTTGGCGATTGCTATTGTTGATGGCATTTTCTCTCCCTTCTTTAGTATAGAGTAGTGTATATACTATGTAGAGATGAAGTAGGGTAAACTAGAAGTGAAGTAGTCACAGGGAAGGGAACCATCACGTATATACCTCTCCTACTATTACTACTACAAGGACTGAAAGTATGCGGCAATTGTCGATCAGTCAGAGAGTGCGGAGGTAAGTAACTAGTTAGTGGTTCTACCTCCTGACAGACAACCCTTAACTAGCTAGTTACAGTAAGTAGTTAGTCAAAAAGTAAATGTATGGTCCCAGCACGTCCAACTTAATCCCTCGCCGCGCGAAGGATCACTCACTCACTCACTCACCTTACTCACCTCACACCATCAGGTATTACTTACTTCATGGCTGTAAACTACTCTCTACTAAAGTAGGAGAGTAGATAAGGAAGGATATGATGACTTCTCATCACCACTTACGTAGACTGCCAGACTACTACTACGACTACTACTACCATGTATGTCGTACAACATACATAAAGCTAAGTTATCAGACAGAAACTAACTGTAGCTGCTCCTGCCACCTGCACAGCATCAAGCAAGGGTCACAAGCATCCTACCGTCACCGCCAGTCCCAACCGATGTAGATGAGGGATTTCCATCGCCAATCAATCATTCCTATTTTCTAGTTAGTAGACAAGACAACCCCGCGCCACGACAATCCAGACCAAATATGGGGCTGGTTGAACAGCGGGACGGAATTGACCTGAACCAGTGATTTAGTTTACTTTGTCTACTGCCTGCATGCAATGCATCATTCTGGGTAAGCTGTAAGCTGTAGCTGTAAGCTGCTGAAATATAATAGCTGTGTCTATCAATACTCCATATCATACACCATGCAACGACAGAATCCCAGTCCATCAAATCACCGACCAGCGAATTACCCTGCCATAGTAATATGTTCATCGAAGAAAAAGAAGATAATTATCTAAATGGTGACTGCGAGGCAGCAGCAGCAGCAGCAGCAGCATCACCGCACCTTGCCTGCCTCGCGCACTTCATGCATAAATCCGTCCTCGTCACCCGCCGAGCCCAACATCCAGTAGTCACCCATGCCAGATGCCATCTGCCCCCCTCCGAACCCAGTTGCGGCCGGGGCACTGTGTCGCTCCTGCGTCCGAGTGCCCCCCTGTCGCGGTCCCCAGCTGAGAATGTCCTGCACCGCCTTGCGACTCTGGTCGTCCGGCTTGGTGTACCCAAACAGCTGGGGTTGCAAGCATCCGAGGATCGCAACGGCCGCCCGGATCATGATCCGGTCTCCTTCAAACACCCAGCAGTCCCAGACCCGGCTGAGACGCTCCAAGTCCAGCCCGTTCGTCAGCAGCGACCGGAACATCGGCTCCCAGATCTCTTCGTCGCTGAGTCGGAGCGTCTCGTGCAGATGCGTCATCAAACGCGGGAATTTGTATTTCAGCGTCGCAGACGCCAGTGAATATGTACGACCGATCGCCCCGCGGTCCAATGTAAGAAAAGCAACAGGGAGCGGCCGGTTGAGCGCGTTGGCCATGGCCAGGAACGCGGACGATGGCGATGGAAATTGCAGGACAAGGAGGGCAGCGATGGTCTAGAATCGTTAGTGATGAATCATGGACGGCACGAAAGAGAACTCACATGCAAGCCACTGACATAGCCCACGTCGCTGCGATACATCGAGTACGCCTGCAACACATCGATCAATGTCTCGCGCAGCGGACCGCCGACTTGAAACAAGTTCAGATCAGGGAACGCCTTGGACGCATCCGCGTCAATCGCCTCGAACCAATCCCTCATGCGCTTGTTGGTCTCCCCAGAATCGCCCTCGGGCCGCGCCCGCACGTCCTTGGCGCGCTGCAAGGCCTTTTTGTATGTTTCCTCGGAGAGAGCCAGCTCATTGCCGATGGCACGCTGCCAGGTCGAGCCCCGGATCCGAGGCGGCACTCCGCGCCACCATAACTCCCGCGTGCGGGTTTCATTAATGACATTATCCCAATTCGGGTACACGTACTCGTCCCAGATCTGCTGCAGAGTCTCGCGAGTGTTGTCTTTTTCGCATTTCGCGGAAGCAGCCTTCGCCGCACGGCGTTTATCTAGAATGGTCAGTCGTCGAAGATGGCAACGAGACAAGTCACATACCTGCTTCCTTGGCCTGCGCCATCATCCGCTTGTATTCCTTTAAATGCCGCTTCTCCTCCTTCTGGTCCTTCGGAGGCAGCCAGCTGGGCCGCGTCCGCGTCAGGACCTTCTCCTTCTCCTTGCTGGGAGGTAACGGATCAATCATGATATTGGACTTTTGCAACGGGGGCAGCTCAATGGTGCTCTTGGATCCGCGCTTGGACTCCTCGCTTGACCGAAGAGAGGAGAGCCCGCTTTGCAGACGCTCTCCCCGCTGGCGTTGGCGCTCATCGGCGTGGAACTCCAAAGCTTCCGTGATGATCTTGGCTTCTTCCGACAAATCCGACATCATGTTGTTGTATGAGTATGCTCGCGGATTGCGGGGCGAGATCTGGCCGCGCTCAGGTCCTGCAGAGCTGGAACGATTGTTGCGGGTCGTGGGAGATCGCGAACCGGAAGGCGACCGGGGCACAGTGACATCGGATACCGAATGCGACAGCGGCAGGGGTCGAGGGCCTGGACTGCGACCGTTAGGGCTGGAGGCCCGGGATGGCGCTCGATCCTGCACCGGCCGCGGGGAGATGGGAACATTCCACAGACTCGCATCCTCGGGTAATTCTTCATCGGAGTCATGGTATTCATCCTCCAAATCCTGCACGGTTTTGCGCGGTCGCTGCCACGAGGGTTTCCGGTTGAGGGTGTGGGTATTGACGGGGGTCAGGGACAAGCTGTGTGTAGACGGCGACGAGCTCAAGCTCGATGTCGGTCGCAGTGGGGAGGAGGAACGCGAACGATGAGGCTTCGTGACTTGGAGGGCGGATTGCTTGGTAGAGGCCGGATCCCGCTGATTGCCGGGGCGGTGCTTGGGACCACGGCCCGGCTGAGCCAAGGTGCCATTGACCTGCTTTCCGGTAGGGTAGGGTGTCTTTGTTTTCGTGGCGGTCAGATCGCGTGTTGTCGCAACCGCCGATTTCTGCATGATGGCCGCGGAAGCTCGTGTAATTCCAGCATTTTGGACGTACGGGGTTGCACCCTTGGTGTAGGAGACATGCACATCATCCTGGAGGTCCACTTCTTCGAAATTGGAGATATCAGTGAAGATGGCTTCGGGGCCAGAGTGTTGCGAGGAGGAACGAAAGGAGGAAGACTTGGAGGACTTGGACCCGGAGAGGTCAGGAGGGGAATTCGGGGTGGTCGTACAAACGGTTGTCATGTCGGCGGGAAAGCTGCAGAGTTCGAGACTCTTCCCAGATGAGAGTAAGGGAAGAACCTCAGGGGATGATTGTTAAGCAGCTGCGTATACCAAGGACGAGAAGGAAGACGATGTAAACACGTCCGATGGTGTCGTGAAATGAAGACAAAGAAAATAAGCCGTTATCGAACGAAAGACGGGGGTGAAGAGGTGGGATGATCTCCGGATGGTATTAATTAATAGGTGTGTGACGGAAGAACCCCAAGCAGGATGCTGCATGCAATGGAAGCGGCAGAACAAGTGGCGGATCAGAAGATGGTCGGGGGCGAGGCTGTTTTTCTTTCTGAATTTGGTTTCGTATTATTCTTGTCCTCCTCTTACTATGCACTCAAGGGATTCAGGAGTTAATCGTGCAGCCAGCAGTGCATTTGGGGGCCGGAGCCGAAGGGGGAAGGGGACGTGGAGAGATGAAACGATCCCCGACCAAAACCGAGACAAGAAGCAGATGAGACAAGCAGCGCGGAGGAGAAGATAGGTTGGGAAACGATAGACTAGACTAGACTAGACTAAAGCGAAAGACTGGAATGTAGGGAGATATTAAGAAAACGAAAAGGAAACGAAAGTATGAGGATGAGAGAAAAAAGAAGAGCGAGTGAGTGAGAATTTGGGAGGAATGAATTGGGGAAAAAGAAGGTGGTGGAGGATGAATGAAAGCAGAAGAGAAGGAAGAGGAAGAGGAGGAGGAGAAGGGGGATGGGATGGGATGGGATGGGATGGAGATGGGGATAAGATTAGGATGGGGATACAGTAATACTACGTACTACTAGTAGTAGTAGGTACTAAGGATGGATGCAATCAGACCAGCACAGAGAGAGAGAGAGAAGCTGGCTGCAAACGAGCAACCAAACGGCAGTTCTGGACAAGGTCTGGCCAATCCCACTGGAGGCACTAGACAGCGATGGACTGGCGATCATTGGCTGTCTCTTCCAGAAGGATGTCTGCCTCGACCAGCGCACGGATTAATGGAGGGACGATAATGACCGTGAAATGAGGGTGGATATTCTTCTCACCAGGAAACGGTTCCAGTTAGTCCCGTTAGTCCAGTTCAGTCCAATTAGTCGAAGTAGTCGAAGTAGTCGTGGGTAAGTCAACTCGGAGTGGTATAGTGTTGGTTTGCAAGTTTACTAAAGCATTACCCGCACCGCCACAGCCGAAATGAAGGCTGATACTAACTGGGTTTCCACCCGGTTATTATCTGCCCAGGAGAAAAAATTAAAAAAAAGGAAGAGGAGAGACGGAGAGAAATATGAGCTGCACACAATTACTAGATACTAGTAGTCTAGTCTATACCTTGGATAAATCCTCATGACCTTGGAAGAAGACTTGTATGGAACTTCATTCCTTTTGTTGACAATTTACCGTTGATGGGCAACCACACCCGCCCAACTATTTTGCCTCCCCCTTTTCCAAGGTTCTCTTCCTCCTCTCCTCTTCAGGGCTCCTCCCTTCAGATCTCTCACCCCCTGATCCAATTCTCCGTTGTCCATGGCCACCAGATCCGTGGTATGTGTGCTGCCCTGCCCGTCTTTGTTTTTTCTTGCCCGGCCGACGAGCCGCGAGTCTCCGGACTGGAGTTCTCCCCTTAGTCACTATAACTGCTAGCTGCTAATTAGTTAGATGAAATGGGTGCTAACTGATTAGGGCGTAGTTATTTAGTGAGGGTACCTAAACTACTCCGTACTGGGTACACCGTCCATACTTACTTAGTTACTTACTTACGGTCGCGGTAAGTGCCCGATCGCAGCCAGAAAAACCTCCTCGGCCTCTGCCTCCACCCCACGACACTAAATCGTTCGGAACCAGGTTTTTGATCGAATCTCAGGAACTACCCTGCCTTTTGCACCCTATATCGTAAGATTCATTGGCTACAAATCCTGCATCAGGATTTTCTGTGCACTTTCCCCTCCTCCGTTCCACTCCGAACTGAGTGGGCTTTGAGATCGGACGCCACCCGCATCGGGGAGTGTGTGTGTGTGTGTGCTGTTTCCAGTTCGATACGTAGTACAGAGTAATCCTGTCGTCATGCCCGTTCTCATCCTTCCAAGGTCACCGCATCCAGATTACATCACCCGCTCCCCCGTTCTTGTTGTTGCTGTGCTTGCACTCTGCAGGTCGACTCTATGCTAGTCTGGACTCTGGCTCAACCTTGATCTCCGATGCGGACCCTACGATCCCCCATTCGGCATCTTCTTTCCCAGCCTATCTACATTCAGCAAGGGGGTCTAGCCTCCCCACTCTCGGTCATCTGCTGTCTCTAGTCTCTAGTCTCTACTCTCTAGAACTTCCAGCCGCCATATGTCGCATTGCCGGTTCGCACCACCTGCCCCAGCTGCCAGGCCTGGGTCTGGGAATTGGGCTGGCTCTCTCGGAGAATGACATCCAGCCAGCCCAACACCCGCGCGTATCGGGCTTGCTTGCGTCCCAGCACGAACCGGAAGGCCGCGGCAGCCAGGTATTCAACCTCGCAATGATGCACCCCGCGACCAGCTGCGGCTGGTACGTTCGCCTCACGTCGGGCTTGGACCATGCGGGTGGCTAGGTGTATCATGTCTCGAATGATTCGAATCACCACCTCGGGGGCTGGGTGCATCTGCCCGGATGTCTTCAAGTATCGGTACATCTTCATTCCCGATATAACGAAGTTTGCATACAGGTTCGACAGGATTACCCCAATCGTGTTGTGTTGCCTGTCCAAGTACATGGGATGCATGAGCAGCTTGAAGGACCCCAGCAGTTTGCGGTGAAGAGTCCGGCCCGGTACTCGCGTCAGTTCGACCGTGAGCGAGTTCGAGAGACTAGTGGCGACGGATTGTCCCCCTTCCAGAATGCGCTCATGATCCTTGTAGATCTCTAAAGAACGGGTATCGATCAGACATCCACAGTAAGGGAAGAGCCGAGTATCCACGAGACGCGGGACCTGAATCCCCTCCACAGCGGCGGCGAAGTTGACCAGGCTTTTGGCTGGATTGACTGAGACGCCATAGGCAGGCTGCCCGGGGATCATCACCTGGAGGAAACGCATAGCCAGTGAGGACTCGGTGGTGACGAGTAGGAAGTCGTCAACTAAGCGAACCAGTAAAGCACTGTCTGACTGCAGGAATCCCAGTACTTGCTGCTCCATGTCTGCATAGAATAGGTTACACAGCATGCTCGATAACACTGAGCCCTGGGGAATGCCATTGCATTGCCGAAAGTAATTCCGCCCGAACTTAATTAGATTGTTTCGCACGTGGTCATCGAGGAGGTCGAGTAAATCTTCCGCATTGAATTCTCTCTGCATGAGCGTGTCGACAAAGACGGTGTTTCGCCTCTGGCTGGTCTCGCCGTTGGTCACCGCCTCTGCCAGGTGCTGTGGCCTTGCAGCAGGGGCTGCTCTACCGACAAATCGCCGCCTAGCCTTGCTTGGTCGTTCGTGCGATGGCCACAGGATGTTGAACTCATCAGATGGCGTCATTTCGACGTGCTTGGTATAATGGTAGGCGGCTTCAGTGATCAACCGTTCAATAAGATGGACCAGGCTTTGCTGAGGGATGGTATCAAAGCAAGACTGGATATCGAGTTTGACAAAGTACAATGGAGGCACTGAGCCCTGATTCTGTAGGTGTCTTTTGAAGTTCTTCAATTGGGAATAAATCTCCCCAACTGACTGCACACATGAGCCTAGTTTGGACGGCGCTCGTGTCTTCTCGTACTGGAGCATGCTATGAATCGGGGCAACAACCGAATTGACACTCCAGAATTTACCGGATTTTGCGTGGCCCGCTAGTACAGGTTTTCGCTTGAGATTTAAGAGAGGGCGAATGCCTGTTGATTTAGGCAAGAGTCGTAAGGAGCCATATCCCATACCGCTCTTCTCTAATCTCTTCTCTACCACACGCTGGGCTGTGGCTGGTTCCAACTCTTCGAAAACGCCAGCTTTGAGCTCAAGTATCGGTCTTTCAGTCAGCTGATACCAAATGTCATGCCGGAAGTAGAACAAACGGTTTCGACCAGACTGGGACTCGGTGACATAGAAGTTGGCACGGATGAGTGGTATCAGGATTGAGTCGAACAGGTAGTACACAAACTCATGAAGTAGCTCTGTTCGCTTCTCGAAGTCGGACCTCGACAGCTTGTGTCGCAAGGGATTGAGTGCTTGTCTTGTATTGGAAGGAGGCTCAAGCCAAGGTATACAAGTAACCTGAAAATATACAGTTAGTATTAGAAGACAAGGAGGTGGTTGTGATTGTCAATGAACCTTGATCCCTTGGCACACATCCTGAAGACTCAGGTTTTCGAAACGCCGCATTTGCACGAATTGATCGACATGCTTCAGGATTTTATCTTGATGCAGAATTCTGTTCTGACCAGTTCCGTAGAATTGAGGGGGAATCAGGTTCTTCATGACAGCTCTGCAGAAGGCGGAGACAGATGAGGCAGGCGTCGCATAGTCGGTCAAGGTGAGCTTCGGTGCTTGTAATTTTGGCATGTCGCTGATACTTGGATCTACCGAGGGACTACCATCCAGGATTGAAGAAGATGCCTGCTGGCAGGACTGTCGTGACTGGGTGATCAAAGACTCGGATGTCGACAATTTGTTATCATCGAACTGTTCAGGGCCGAGTTTCCACGGTCCAACACGCTATATTATTAGAATCAGCCTGCAATGTTATCGGTGAATCAGCGAGCATACCTCTGCAGGACAATAATAATTGAGCAAATGCGCATAGGAACAGTGCTTATTCCGGTTCTGCAACTGCTGGACCAACTCTATAGCTTTGCCTTGAAGTCGTCTGGGAATCATGCTTTCTGAGTGTGAATGGGCTCGCTTTGCCTTCTCTAACTTTGCAATCTCATCTTCGCGATAAGCATAATCTTTGAATATGTCTTGCCCATTTGACACGCTCGAAAAGACATTGTGCAAGCCAAACTGTTTGGGAAATATGTATTTCAACACATGAGTAGTATGCGCGAGCGATGTG